GTCGTGTGCATCTTTTTATGTGTTTCCTTATGTACAGCCCTCCATGGCTACCCGTCACCTGTGGGACAGTCAGACTCTCAGACTGGTTCAGCATACTCTGGTCTCAGCCCAGGTTTGCAGCCTCCCCCACACAGTTCACATTGCTCACCATTAGATACTTAAAAAAAAAAAAAAAAGTTTGTCTGCTGAGGACATGTGTACACTGCGGAGTGACGATAGAGAGAGCGGGACCGTGAGAAAGCTCCCCCGGGGAGGATGGCCACGTTCATTTCTTCCTTCCTCCTCTTGGGATTTCGGGCATGTACACACACAGGCCTGGTGGGTTTTTCAAGCTGCTGGGTCTGGGACTTGAACCGTGCAGTCGGCCATATGGGATCCATCGCCTTAACCTCCAGGCTGCCAGCTGGCCTAGCATGAGATACTTTTTCCATGCTGTGGAAATCAACTGATTGGAACAGTTTAGAGCCATCTGACATCCTCTCCTAGCACTGAGTAGTGGAGAGTCAAGCGTTGCACCGAGACAGCATCTGTCCGGGAGGGTAATGCTGGGTCTGTCCCCAGGGAAGGGAAGTTGCCTGTCACCCAGCAAAGCCCTGGTCTCAGCTTTCCTGACTTTTATAATAGGATGTCCGCACTCTGCCTGTTTGTCTGGTTCCTGAAGCATGTGACTTGCAGCAGACCAGCGATACAGGATGCCAGCACCCGGGCGCTGCCCTCACGCCACCTGCTCCCTGGCTCACATTATAAGCCAAACACAGACGCCCACCAGCACGGGGACTCCCGGCTGCAAGGAATACTCAGGGGCTGCCTAGGAGACATGGCACTGTCCACTCTTCCAAGAACCGTGCTCAGGTAGACCCGGGACTGCTCCTGGAGGACTCTCAGCCAAGATACCTTGAGGGTTGTCCCGGCTTGCACTCGTTCTGTGCAGTGCCACCATCACTGTCTCCTAGGCAAATTCTCCGGTGACATTTCCTTATGAAGTCTGCTGATAGCAAGAACTGGTGCTGGGAGAGCTGGCAGGTCAGCTTTCTTTCCATGGTAAAAGCTAAGTATGTGTAGTTCTCCTTTCTGCTCTGGCTACCAGCAGACTCAGACACAATCTGAACCTCAATAACGGATCAGCGTTTTCATTCAAAGTTTATATCTTTTTTTCTAGGTCTTGCATTTCTTTCTGTTTTTTTGGAGAGGGTTTTTTTGTTTTTTTGTTTGTTTTTTGTTTTTTTGGTTTTTTTTTTCCTTTAGGGTGTGTGTGCTCATCAGAAAGACAGAGAGAGACAGAGACAGAAAGCGAGAAATCACCCCCAGGGGGGATGGCCACGCTGCAATCCCTTCTTCTCCATTCTCCTCTCGGGATCTTGGGCACACACACACACATGCGCCCAGTGTGAGTTTAAGTCACTAGATCCGGGACTTGAACCGTGGTCGACTACATGGGAGCCCAGTGACATAGCCATTATGCCATCTGCTGGCCCCTTTTCTTTTTTTCTTTTTGAGAGGTTTTTGCCATAGGGCGCGTGCACTCCCCAGGAAGAGAGAGAGACAGAGAGACAGAAAGTGAGAAATCACCTCCCGAGGAATCTCTTAAAGGGTCCTCCATCTCTGTTTGGGATGATGAACAAGCTCAGGGGGAGTGCAAGATGCCAGACTCGCACACTTAAACACGGTTTGAATTGTGTCTTTCAGGTTGTGTTTCATCACAGAAAATAAAAGGCATGAGACAAAGGATAGCTACACTCTCAAATATGGCATTGCTTCCTCAAATTTCATCCCTCTTGCTCCATGGTCTCAGGGTGGCCACCTCTGGGCCCACAGCACTGCTCTGCCCTCTGTGAGCTGGGTCAGCCAAGAGCACCGTGCTCTGTTCCTGAGAGGAACGGGCTGTTGGCGAAATCCTGGATCGTCTTTACACCCAGATGACTTAGGAGTGGCCCAAGGGCCGTGGCTTGTGAGGGCCCCACCATGGCGGCTGGCAGTGCAGGACTGGCGGGAGGGTGGGTGGTGCAGCTCTGCGGCCAGGTCCGCCTCTGCCTTTTTTGACTCCACAAAGCTGTGCCACGTGGACTGAGGTCAGCTGCAGTACTCCACACCCAGAGCTCTCCAGAGAGGGGCTCCGAAAACAGTCCAGTCCATGTGCCTGCTTGCTTTTCAAATGAAAAGCCCCAGTATAGCAGCTTAATCATATTATAAACACATTATAAACATATTAAAAAGTAATTACTTTGGAGGAAGTTAAGTATGTTAAAATACAAATTAAGATAAAATTAGGAATGTTTCTACTTTCATATTCAAGAGCACAGAATATCCTTTTTAATGATATTTGCCTTCCCGTAGGCCAGCGCCCCAGCCCCTTAACTGCTGCGTTGTCTCCGTGAGCATTTGTGGAGTGCCTCCTGTCGGCCAGGCACGGAGCTAGGTGCTGGCACTGAGCCAGTCTCTTACAAAGCTGAGTGATGTATTGACTGCGTGGGTCCCTGTGGCTGCCATATTTCAGCATGGAGCAATTAGGCAGAGAACAGTCAGTGTTTCTACCCGAGAGAAGGGATTAATCATAATTGGTTGCATAATTCTCAAGTCAGTCTTATCCAGAGCTACAGCCAAAGGCAAGATCTTGAGAGAATCACAGTGCAGATTTGTCCATCAAGTGCCACTTCTCCCCTTTAAAGTAGAAGGAAGTATAAAGAATGGGCTGTAAAGGGTTCACGATGGATCAGAGGCAGACAAGCGGTCATCTGGCAGGTACTAGATTTTGTTGGGAGAAGATTCATCAGGGTGTTAGACGAGCAGAGTTTGAGGACCAAGCGGTGGTACAGTGGTAGCACAACTGGGCCCACATGGGAAAGGTCCTGGGTTCACATCCCAGCAACAGCCTGAGTGGACTGGGTATGTGGGTTTGTATGTTCTTGTGATCCCAGATGGCTGGGAAGGCAGAGGTAGACCAAGGCATGAAGATTGTTGGGGATACCTGTCTCTCTGTCTCTCTCAAAGAAGAAATGAATAAATAAACTTTTAAAAATATTTCAACAAAGACTTGGGTTTGGCTCCCAACTTTGTCATTCCCAGCAGGGTGACCTTAGACAATCTCACTGAGCCTTAGATTCCTCTTCTGTAAAATGAGGGTTGTATATTCATGTCTGCAAGCCAGCCAGTGGTTAAGGCGGCTGGTTCCTACATGGCTGAATGCGTGGGTTAGGTCCTGGACATGGCAGATCAAGAAACTTACCAGGCGCCTTGCGTGCATGACCAAAATCTCAAGAGGAGAACAAAGGAGAGGGGATTTCGAAGTAGCCATCTCCCCTAAGGGGAGACTTATCACTCCCTCCCCAGATCTCTTGAGTGAGTACATGTGCCCTATAGGATAGAAAACAAACAAACAAAAACAAAAACACTTAAAGAAAATAAGAGAAATACAGCCTATGTTCATGTCTGCAAACCCCAACCCGGTATTCTATCTACTGTGAATAGTTTACCAAGGAGGAAGAGGGCGGGGGTATCTATCATCCACTAGCCAAAGTAACTGGCGAATATTTAAACCAGAGCGAAATGTGTGAGTATCCTGGGATCTAATGGGGGAGGTCTGAATTTAGGCAACCTTGAATTCTGACCTATTCTGATTGTTCATAACAAAGTACAGCCCTGAGTTTGACCTAGAGTTATCCAAGAACTTGCCATGATGTCACTATGTCTCACTGTGACATTGCACTCCCGGGCTCACGAGGGCGAAAACAGTCCTGAATCTTTGGCCTAATTAACACTGGCCATAATCCATCCAGATGGGCCAACAAGCCATCAGGGATTTAATGCAACAGAAGGAAGAGGAGACATGCTCAATGATTTATTTGTTGTTACTAACACTTTTGCTTCCCAAAAAGATTTGGGATGAATAGGAATCTCTACCTCATGGACAAAATACAACGCATCTTCCGTATTTACACATTGACCAAAGGATGGGGGACTATTTTAACTACTTTGTGGCTCTAGGTAATGACTCAGAGGATCTTGCCTGGCCCCCAGGGCCTCTCTCCTAGCACTGGCTATGTGGCCAGCAATTCCTCTGGGTCTCTGAAGGAGGGAATGACTCTCCAGGGTACACCTGGCAATTCACTGTGTATCTGCCTTCTCCCCAGGGGCCAAACCACACTTAACTGCATGGCAGTTTGGTGTAGCTACAATCTCAGGTCAGGACTCAAGGAGTCTTTTTTTTTTTTTTTCCCTGTAACTTCTTTTTTATCTTATTTATTTATTTACTTATTTAATTTTAAATTATGATTCCTGGTTCACATGTATTTGATAAATACATCTTCATGGAGTACAGCCTGACTCTTGTTATAAAAAAATCCCTACAGGGCATGTATGCTCACCAGAGAGATTAAGAGAGACAGAAAGCAAAAACTCACCCCTCAAAGGGGATGGCCATGCTGCAATCTCTTCTCTGTTATCTTCTTGGGATTTGGGGCTTGTATGCATATACACCCTGTACGAGTTTCAAGTCACTGGATCTGAGACTTGAACCATGGTTGACCACGTGGGAGTCCAGTGAAGTAACCATTATGCCACTGGCAGCCCCAGTATGCCTTCTTAAAGCACACCCAGTTATAATAATCAAATCAAGGCGATACAAATATTCATCTTCTTCAACATTGAATATTGCATGTTGTGCACATGTGATACTAGCTCCATTAGTTTTTATAATATATGTATTGGGGCCCGCAGAAGGTATAGTGGTTAAAGCACTGGATTCCCACAGGGCTGACTTCAGTTCAAGTCCTAGATCTGACAGCTTGCAAATCATTCCAGACACCTGGGTGTGTGTGTGTGGCGGGGTGCCCAAAACCTTAAGAGGAGCCTGGAGGAGAAGGGACTGAGGCATGGCCATCCCCCCTAGGGGGTTCTTTTTCACCTTCTGTCCCTGTTTCTCTCTGGCGAGTTCATGTGCCCCACGGATAAACCTTAGACAAGCGTGTGCTAAATTGTCCATAGGTTTTACTCTGCTGTGGCATATCAGCCCTAGCGTCCTTTTGCAACTTCTTTCTTCCCCATTGTGGTTATTCCAAAACTTGAACACTTCCCTGTGCCTCCTGGTCATCCATGAGCATTTCAGGTGATTAAACACTGGATTAACAAGAGAAATAACGCTGTCATAAACAAATTTAACTTACATCTTCTCTCACCACCCTAAGCTATGCACTTACTGCCATTTTCACCATCTCTCTTTGGTTTCAGAAAACAAGTATCAAGGCTCCCGTCAGTCCTGGGCTTAGACCCCTCCTCTCCAATCCTTCCTTCCTGCCTTGCTCCAATGCTTACTCTAAAAGAACGCTTATCACCCACAAGAACACAAAAATATAAAACTACTACCCTCTTTGGGGCCAGTCCCACAGCCTAGTGGTTAAAGAAGCAGGATCCCACATGGTCAACTGCGGTTCAAATCCTGGCCCCAGTGGCTTGAAAAAACATGCTATGTGTGCATGCATGCCCCAAACACTGACAGAACAGGGAAATGGAAGAAAAGGGATCACGGCGAGACCGTGCTCCTGCGAGGAGTGCTTTCTCATTCTCTCTCTCTCTCCATTGCTCCCTGACGTGCGCATGTGCTCTCCGACAATAAAAGAAAGAAAAAAAACCCCTGCTATGCTCTTTTGAATGTGAGTCCTTTCTAGACATTACCCCATTGCGCTTCATTCAAAATCAAGGTTCTAATAAAAGAACCTGGGTGCCAGCAGGTGGCATAGTGGTTAAGTGCTATAAACTCCAATATGGTTGACCATAGTTTGAGCCATTGCGCTTCATTCAAAATCAAGGTTCTAATAAAAGAGCCTGGGTGCCAGCAGGTGGCATAGTGGTTAAGGTGCTATAAACTCCAATATGGTTGACCGTAGTTTGAGTCCGGGACTCGGCTTGAAAATCATGCCAGGCACGTGTATGTGTGTGCCCACAATCCTGAGAGGAGAAGAGATTGTGATCTTGCCAGCCCTCCGCCCAGGGGGTGATTTCTTGCTTTCTGTCTCTCTGTCTCTCTGATGAGTGAATGCACCATATCGCAAAAGATATCGCTCAAATAACTGAATGAATGAAAGAATTGGGAGTCTACACCAATAGCCTACACACTCTCAACTCCCATAACTTCTCACCCCTCTGCAATCAAGCGTCTGCCCTTAACACTTGAAACCAAGGAGGCAGACAATGACCAAGTCCTTGGCCAGCAGGTGGCATGGTGATTAAGGTGCTGGACACTTTCACACGGCCAGCCACAGTTTAAGTCCGGGGCCTGGTGGGTTGCTTTCTCACTTTCCCTCTCTCTCTCTCTGTGTCTCTCTCTGGTCAAATTCAAATAAATGAATGAATAAATAAAATTAATAAATAATTATTTAACAGAAAAACAATGACCAAATCCAACAAAGGCTTTTCATCTCATCCTTACCTGATTTACATGTGACCTTAGGCACTGTTGCCCCTTCCCTTCTAGAAACTTCTATCTCCGTTTCTTATTTTTCCTTTCAGATTGATCTTTGTGACTTTTCTTCCATGGCGTTGCTGTTGATATCTCCCCCCGCTTTTTTTTTTCTTCCTATCTCTTTCCATGTGTTTTTAGTTTGTATTTTTGCTAGAGGGTATGTGCATTCAACCCAGAGAAGAAAGCAACCCCCAGGCTGAGATCCCTTCACCATTTCTCCCTCCTTTCAGGGTTTTGGGCACATGTACACACATGTGCCTAGCATGTTTCTCAGGCCACAGGGTCTGGAGCTTGAAACAGGCAGTAGGCATGTGGGATCTGGCTGTCGTACCCACCAGGCTGTGGAGCTGGCCTCGCACGTGTTAGGCGGATACTCACATCTCCCCGTGACCACACCTCCACGCGTTTCCCGTGCCTCTCCACGTGGCCTTGCTTTGGTCAACAGAACTACGAATGGCGGCAAGCAGAGGCCTGATCAGCGCGTGTGCACTGGGGCTCGTCTTCTTGGGACCGCCTCTGGAGACTGCCAAGTGTGGGCGTGGTTCGATACACTGTGATAGGTAACTAAAGGGGCCAGCGGGTAGCGTGGAGGCTAAGGCACTGGACCTAAGCTGGAGGTGATCCCACATCACCGACAGCTTGAAAATCATGCCAGGCATGTGTGCGTGCCCAAATCCTGAGAGTACGGAGGAAGCGAATGCAGCATGGCCCTCTTCCCTGGGGGGTGATCTCTCACGTTCTCTCTCTCTCTCTCTCATGTGTGCACGTGGTCCTATAGCAACGTTTAAAAAAAATGGGGAGACAGCAGTCAGCAAAATGGTTACGCTGCTGGATTCCCATGTAGTTGACCATGGTTCGAGTCCTAGATTCCACAGCTTAAAACTCACACTGGGCTCGTGTGCTTGCATCTCAAAATCCCAAGAGGAGAACGGAAGCAGAGGGATTGTGGTGTGGCCAATCCCCCTGGGGGTGACATTTTGCTTTCTGTCTCTCTGTCTTTCTGGTGAGCACACATGCCCTATAGCAAAATCTCTCTAAAATACTTTTTTAAAAAAGAATTATTTTACTTAACTTTATTTATTTATTTATATTTGACCAGAGAGGAACAGAATGAGAGAGAGAGAGAGTGAGAAAGCAAGCCTCCAGGTCCAGGACTCGAACCACAGTCGGCCATATGGGAGTCCAGCACCCTTAACCACCATGCTACCTGCTGGCCTCATCTCTAAAATAAGTTTTAATTTAAAAATAGATAACTGAAAACATGTCCCTTCCCGTTACGTGCTTTTCCCCACATCTATCCCAATGGATTTAAGTCCCAGTCATATCTTATAATTCTTGCACTACCTCTGGAGACCCGGCCAGTTTCTCAGTTCCCATCTCTTCTTTCTTTTTTTTTTTTTAAATATTTTATTTAACTTTATTTATTTGCTCACTTATTTTATTTCATTTTGACCAGAGAGGGACAGAGCAAGAGAGAGAGAAAGTGAGAAAGCAAGCCACCAGGTCCGGGACTTGAACCATGGTCGACCATAT